CCTTGGCATAATTTAGACCCACCCCTCAATAAGTCTCCCACACCGGTCACAAAGGAGAACTTTATTGATTACAGGGGTAGGGCGGAAACAGGGAAAAAGGTAGAGCAATATCATAGAAATATTACAGGAATATCAGAGGAATCCCATAGAGCAAACCAGGGTGGCTGAGGTAGCCGTTTCAACACGCATCTGAGTTACTGAAGCTAAATATCTGATCGGATCTCTAGTAGGTTACTCACTCGCATCATCCAGAGGTGGTGGATGGTTCCTCTTGACGCAGGGCACTCTTGCAGCATGCGGTGATGAGGAGAGAGCCAGGTTCAGATTCACCTGGATGACCGCATGGATAATGGCTGCCCTTCTTCCTGGCCCAGGCCTTTTTCCAATCTGCAAAGCATCCCTGGCTACCTGGGCCCGCGCGCAGGGCCGGGTCTTCCCCCCCTGCCCAGGTGACCAGAGCATCGCCTCCCAGGCGCCAGGCTATTGTCTGCAGACAAGGAGCGAGATCACCGCTGTGAGAGATTCAACAGCAGCCTCTCGGGCTGGCTGAGACAGATCTCTGGAGAGGGGCACCGACGGGGGCATTTCTGCCACATAGATGACCTCTGGGGCTAGGGACAGACATTACACATAAACCAATTTAAGTGATCAAAAACTGGTTTAAACCTGTAACAGAAAAGAAGTTCAGTGCACATTAACCAGTTTGAGAAAAACCAGGATGAATGTAGTATCCGACTTAACAGATTTGGGTCAAACCAGTTTATACAAAGTCTTTCCCAGGCCCCTTCCTGGTTGAAGTTAAATCAGTGTCCCCTGGTACCCTGGCATGCTCTCTGGGCTGGGCAGGGCCGACCCCTTCCCTCTGCTGTCATGCTGCCGCTCTGGCAGAGACTGCACGTACAGTAGGGTCTGCCTGGCTTCCTCCTGCTCCTTTCCCCCTCACCACCTTCACCACTCTCTGCTCAAGCAGGGATCCCCCCTCCCCTCTGCCTTACACAGACACCTCTCAGCATTTGCTAGCATACCACATGCTGGCTATGGACTGTGCTGTGGCAGACAGGATAAAGGCAGACAGGACTATGTCATCTTAGGGCTTTTTGGAGCTACTCAACAGGTAGTTGATAATGTCCCTCTGTTCCTTCCTTGGAAAAGCTGTTTAAGAGAAGAGCTTGAACTAATGGAGAGAGGCTGTTGTTTTCTTAATGGACTGATAAACACTAAGTTAGGGGTGATCAGTACTGTGTTATCAACTCCCTGCTGGGCTGCTCAGGAGCTGGGGGGTAACCCCTCCCTAATCAGAGCATCCTGCTGGGGCCTGGCCACAACCCCCCCCTCAGCTCAGCACTGTGGAATGGAAGGGAGGGCTGCTCTAGCGCCCTCTCAGCTTCTAGCCTGAGCCACTTCAGGCATGTGCCCGCATTTCTTCAGTCCAGAGGGGATGTCTGTCTGGTCACAAACTGGTTCAGCCTAGCCAGGTTAGACTAACCTGCAAAGATTGAATCAATTCAGGCTCAGGCTTTTTGAATCTCTGTCCCTAGCCTGGAGGTCCCTTTCAACCCTACTTCTCTATGATTCTCTCTTCATTAAAACTAGATGAGGAAAGCAAGGACACTGTTTCATTCTGTTCCTTGGACCATTCCTCCTCACAAGGAGGCACCATCAACAACAGCAATCCTGTTTACTGTGCATCTGGCAAGTGTTCTGTACAAAACACCAGCAACTATGATGGCAAGGATTTTGACTGTGAACTTAGCAAAAGCAGTAGATATGAGAACAGCAACATGTGCAATTTTTGTGACTGTACCACCACAGAGTGCTGTGACGAAGCAAGAAGTACCAACACTAGCAAATTCCCCTTTTCTTTCTCTGGTAAGTGGGTCTCCTTTGTGGAAAGTTACTATTGTCAACTATAGTTAAAGATTAAATGTGTTCAAGTCATTAGAATCCTGACTGCAATATCCATACCTGCACACATTTTAGTACATGGTAGAAGAAAGGCTCAGATGCCTTGCTACAACTGTGAAGGGATATTTCAATCTCTGCTTTGGACTCATGCCAAAGACTGCCTGTAGTTGTCCCAGTTTTGAATGGGAACCTGGTTATTTAGCCTAGAAAATTAAAGAAGACAACTAGATGCGATATCCATCACTCCCTCGTGTGCTGCTGGTACAAAAACTAGTGTGCCAAACAGGCTGTTAGGCTGAGGTGGACTTTTGCCCATGATACCTAATTTAACCAAATCAAACCTGTGTTAAATTTCATGTTAGACATTCATGCCAGGCTAAAGATTTCTAGAAAGTCTGATGCATGTCTTTTGAGGCAGACAAGGCCTTTGGGAGATAGAGATGTTCCAGAATTAGATGGTAATCTTACTTCTTGGCTGTTTTCACAAGTGGGGCTACTGGGAATTTTTAACATCACAATTAAAAATGTGTTCAAATTGGCATTTTAAGTTATTATTGAGCCTAGACTTCTAAGTAAAAAAAAAGAGAAGGCCCTTTTACTGCCCATACTATAGGACATTAGGCTGTTAATAAGGCTTTATCTTCCTTGGCTCAAATACTGATGCCAGAAGATAGGCCTTGTCTATATTAAGTTACACCAGTTAAATTGGTTATTTTAAGAGGCAAGGATTTTTGTGGGTGATATTTTATTGGATCAACGGTATAGTTGGAAGGGATATAAACAAGCTTTCAGATATGAAATATCCTTCCTCAAGTCAGTTCAAGTCCAGCTCTTAGAGCTGGATCTCCAGGTGCATCATCATCTCACAGAAACACAGTAGGCAACTGTTCTTTTCTTAATCTTTATCCCAGGAACTGACCCCTCCAGTCAACCTTCACATAAGGGCAGTTGTTTTATAGAATCTTTACTGTCTTCAGTGGTCTCCCCACAGAGCTTGGATGAGATTGGCTGTCTGAGATACTATCAAGAAAGAGCATTGCTGCAGGTATGAGGTCACTGTGCATCAAATCTCAAATATAAAATTAAAAAGCAACAGACTGCTTTGAAAGCCAGGAAAATTCTTTGCTGAAGCAATCTGCTGATCTCTCCATGCCTGAACCACACTTTGCAACTACAGGAAATAGTCCAGTCCAGAGGAGGCAGTGACCTGCACCTTTGTTCTGGAATCTGGAGCAACCACCTGGTGATTTATAGAATACACTTTATACCACAACCACAATTAAAAATTCTTGGCCTTCAAATGGGCAAACTCAGCATGCACCATTTAAAAGATGGGATGGGACAAATTAAGGTGAAATCAAACAGTCACAAAGGTGCTGAAAAATCATGAATCCTGAGTCACTTGCAATGGAATCTAAAAAGTAAAAAAGCAAATTACTGAGTAGAACTGAACTAATAATTCACAATAAGAAGTCTACTGTTAATCTTTTTTCCTTTTCATGAACAGATTGATTTGTAAGAAAGTTTTCTATTTCAAACTATTTTGTATCTGTGCAATTTTACAAAATACTTAAGCTTTCTAATCTCTATGTTACCACTAGTGGTGCTCTACAAGTATTCTTTTTACTGAACATGTCTACATGTGGACACACCTAGTAAAAATGTGAGGTACTAAATTAATGCAAGTTAGGCTGCCCTAATGCACAGTAGCACATTTGCATGGTTTTTTAGTAACACTTAATGCACAGTTACTAAATTCATTTCTTCTGCACTTGCAAAATCATCTCACCTTTGCCTGAATAACACCTTGCTTAAACAAATGCTCTTAATAAGAAAAAAAAAAAGATAAATTTCTCTTTAGACGTTTTCAATGATAGTAAACATTTTCTGATCACTCTACCTCTCTTTAACTATCTGTGTTCTTCTGTTCTTTTAGACCAGCCAATAAACATTCACTACTGACTGCTCTGGATTTCCAACATATGGTTTCCCATCTCCTATAACAGCAACATTTTTCCTTTTCACATATTCTAGACAGCTCCATCAGAAGTAGCCCATCCTGCTATCGCATCTTTTCAGGGTTGATTATTATATATGCTAAATGTTTTAATTAGATACTATAAGTAGTTTTTAGCATGAGAAAAAAAAAAAGAAAAACTGGAGTAAATAAATATACTAATTTATCTGTTATTTTTGCTTCCATTACAGAACAATTTAAATAAAGAAATTAAGAATAAGTTAGAAAAAATATTGACCTGGGTTGTGGCTAAAGTAAACTGTGTCCTATACTCAACTGTAACAGAGTACAACAAGAGAACTAAAGATAAAGTATATGCAATATCCGAAGAGTCAAGACAGTCATTATGCAACTCTAGCAGTTGTCGCATACCTAACGGAGAGATCCGCAATATATTTGGAAGTCTTCCTTCTTCCAGCACCAGAAATGTCTTCTTTACAGATGAGAACATAAAATCCACTAGCTCACCAAGTGATCTCTACACAGTCGTAAGAGGGAAGCCACAGCAGTTCCAAAAACCATTGTCCACATCTCTGACAAAGAGCACACCGATATCTCTGGAAAATGACATTTATAAGGGGAGAAAAGGAATGACACCTCAGTATCATAAAAGACTGCACACAGAAGTTATGTCTGGGTTTCCTAAAAGGAAGTTTAATTCAGACAAGTATCCTTTTAACCAAACTTACTCTAAACAAAAATCTGCAATAAAAGATGCCAGGCCAAAAAAATGGATTTTGGACAATATAGATTCAGACTGCAAACAAGATCATCCCAAAAGCGGCATTTTTAAGAAGTTGTTTGCACAGCAGTCAATAACAGAAGCTCATGACAATGACAGCTTGATGCTGCTACAGGTGGCCAAGAAAGTTGTAAAGGATATTTTTATGAGAGTAAGAGACCTGGATCATTCTGTCAGCATTTTAAAGAAGGCCCCTATTGAGATGAGTGAAAAATTGTTCTGTAGCCATTTTAAAAGAACTGATTATCTTAAGACTTTTCATAAAAATTCTCAGAAAGAAGTGGAATCAGTTGCTAAAGAGATTGTAGAAACTGTTTTTGAGAACTTTCTCAAGTGTTTGGAGTCCAGCATAGCAACTGCCACAGACCAAGAAGAACCTCTCCCAAGAAGAAAAGAGTGGGACTCTGCTAGGGGAATGAACAGAGTTTTCAAATCAGAAAGAAATAAGTGTGCACAATCAGAATTACCCGTTTATGACCCAACACTTCCTTTGGCTTCTATTGATAAAATAGCCAAAGAGACTGTTGAAAATGTTCTAATCATGCTAGAATCATTTGTGGCCTTTCAGTTTAAACATGACTTTAACTGCAAATTTTCTGAAATAGTGAAATTTCCTGTTGAAAATATCTCTAGTACACAACAGATGCCACTCTCTCCCCAGGGAACAACTGAAATAGAAATGCCAGGAGCAGGTAAAAGAATGCCATCCGGGTTAGAACCATACCCAAGTACTTCAGATTTATCAAGAGTTAGTAGTTGGATTACAAAGGAAAGCATACACGATGCAGTTTTCAAAATTCAAAGACTCCATTCAGAATTAAGCATGTACGCTAGTATTGTCGTTTATGATGTTCTTGAAATCATCCAACAGAATCTAGAAAGGGAAATTAATCAGAGCGAAACAAATGTGACAAATGAGATCATTAGGACTATATTAGATCGATGTAGTCAACAGGTGGATGAATTTACTTCAGAGCTGAAGTTTGGAAATCTACAAATAGAAGAGTCTAGGCGAGTGTTTGCAAGTAATAAAGGTCCTGGTCATGGCACTGCATGGTCTGAAAAAATGAAAATACCTGCCAGAAAATTGAAAGAAATTTGCCTAAGCAAAGACTTGCCATCTTTTAACATTCCTGGAATGGTGTTTTACTCAGAAGAGGAGTCAGAAATCGAAGAGGGTATTCTATCCAATTTCCTCCCCACAGTCCTTCAGTTCTCTGAACAGAACACTCGCACCAAATCAGAGGGGACCCAAAAGTCTCCTTACTACACTGCAGCTTCCAGACTGAGATCTTCTAGGACATCAAAGGAAATAAAAACTAAAGAAAAAGCCTTTGCTTCCAAAAGGCCTCTGCCGCCCATTGGCAGGCCACTCTCAAGAAAGCCCTGCTCTGCACAGGACACAAAGCCAAGTCCCAAAGGGGAAGTGACATGGAGGCCCGTGTGTGAAGAGCATGGGGAGCTCATGACAAGTGAGCCCTCATGTCGGGCCAATGATCTGTCACTTAAGACATTAATGGAAGATCTAGTAAACATATTTGTGTCTACAATCTTAAACTCAGTTTGTAGCACGGGCCCCAAGCATAGAAGATTGGCAGAAAGGGATGCAAGTAAAATTGCTGACCCACTTAAACAGACCATAGAAAAAATAATGCCCCAATATGAAATGGATGTTGTAGGAATTACAGATGAAGAACAGTATTCAAGTGAAGAGTATGAAGAAACAGTTAATCAAGTGGTCCATTCTGCTTATAGTAATGTCTTGCAAGAATCAGGATCTCAGCAAGACATTTGCGATGATGTAACGAGCCCCAGAAAAGTTTTCCCAAAACGAGTACCCAGCATGATACTGAGTGAAATCTCCACTTGCAATCTAAACTGCACTATCAATGAGGATGAGCCTACAGAAAGCCCCAGTGCTACGAATCTTCACAGATTTGTTGATAGAGCTCTTTCACAAGTCTCCAGTATTATACCAAAACATGAGACAGAAGACTCTCCAGCGCTGAAAACAAATGAACAAACAAAAGAAATGCCACCAGAAGTAAAAGATCTACCAATTGAAATAGCCCCTTGTATTAAGAACAGACCAATACAAATAGATCCAGAAATTGTAGCAGAGCATTTAGCAGTTATTTCCATAAAAACAGAGCCTCTTGAAACACCAAATGCTGTGGGCTCCAGGAAAGCTAAATTAAGTCAAACAGTGCTAAGAAAAGTAACAGAATCAAAGGAGAGTTTTATGGATGCCGGTATTGGTTATGAACAAAGGAAAAAGTCACACAGACGGTCCTCTGTGACTACTTTAGGGCGGCTAGATGTAAGACCAAGGGAAGTAAGTGAACATAACGAGTCATTCTCATAGGCAGACTGGTTAAAAAAATGTTCATTATAACCCCACTAGGACCCTGATCCAAGAAAGCATTTACGTGCAAGATAGACAATAAGTCCTAAATCAGCAGGATTACTCATTTGGTTAAGCACTTTGCAGGATTGGGTGCAAAACCCTGCTTCAACAAAGCAACTAAATAAGTATATAATTCGGATGTAAGCATGCGTTTCAAATAAGCATATGTTTAGGTACTTTTCTAAATCTGAGGCTAGTATCTGTTTTCATAGATAGTACTAGGGAGGTAATAGTTTCCAATTGCAATGTTCTTCTGATATTCCAATCTGATCTGTTTTGACACAGATAGTCTAAATACAATAGAGTGGGAAATCTAGACTTGAAAAAAAAGTGTTGGTGACTGATCCTTTGTATGTTCAGAAGTATCATCAACTTCCCGGTAGCAAACCAATTCTTCTCAGCAACAGAGGGGTAGCGTTCCTAGGGGCAAGCACCAGCAGCTTGGAGTCAGGACTTCTGCCTGACTCTCCCAAAGCCACTAATAACAAGTCATGAGGGACCAGAGCTGACTCCCTTCTTCTGGCCAAAAGGTGCTGTACTTCTCAGGCCATCCCACTATCTCGGATCAAACAGCTCACAGAGCTGTTCATCCTAGGCAAGGCCAATAAAGTCTGATGATAACCCCCTCTCTGGCCCCCAAAATTTTATGAGATTGGTAACTTTATAGGTATTGCAGGTGACAAGCTGACCCCAGTGATTTTAGTGGTGCTAAGATTCCATCACAGCTTTCTTTCCTCTCTTTTACGTTTATTGCAGGAGAGGGGTTTTAAAAAAATATATAAATTAACAAAATGTTTTGGGAAGATGGGATGGAGTACACCATCAGTAAGTTTGCAGATGACACCAAGCTGGGAGGGGTAGCAGATGCACTGGAGGGTAGGGCTAGGATTCAGAAAGACCTCAACACATTTTATAACTGGAACAAAAGAAATCTCATGAGGTTCAATAAGGACAAGTGCAAAGTCCTGTACTTAGGATGGAGAAATCCCATGCACTAGTACAAGCTGGGGACTGACTGGCTAAGCAGCAGCTCTCCAGAAAAGGACCTGGGTACCAGTGAACAAGAAGCTAAGTACGAGCCAACAGTGTACCCTTGTCGTGAAGAAGGTTAACGGTGTACTGGGCTGCGTTAGGAGGAGTGTTGTTAGCAGATCGAGGGAAGTGATTATTCCCCTCTGTTTGGCACTGGTGAGACCAAATCTGGAGTCCTGTGTCCAGTTTTGGGCCCTCAGTACAGAAAAGGATGTGGACAAACTGGAGAGAGTTCAACAGAGGGCAACAAAAATGGTTGAGGGGTTGGGGTGCACGATTTCTGAGGAGAGGCTGAAGGAACTGGGCTTATTTAGTCTGCAGAAGAGAAGACTGGGAGGGGGTTTAATTGCAGCCTTTAACTACTTGAAGGGTGGTCCCAAAGAGGATGGAGCTGGACTGTTCTCAGTGGTGGCAGATGACAGAACAAGGAGCAGTGGTTGCAAGTTGCAGCAAGGGAGGTTCAGGTTAGATATTAGGAAAAAAACTCTCTCACTAGAACAGGTTACCCGGAGAGGCTGTGAAATCGCCATCCTCCAACACTTGAAGGTTTTTAAGACCTGGCTAGACAAAGCCTTGGCTAGAAAGATACAATTGGGGATGGTCCTGCTTTGAGCAAGGGGTTGGACTAGATGACCTCCTGAGGTCCCTTCCAACCCTAATTTTCTATTATTCTATGATTCTCCTAATAAGTTCCGATTTTTCTGAGTGTTCAAGTGAAATAAAACCAATGTACCTATATGCAAATGTAAAACAGCCTACATATGTTCACTTTTTCATTAATGGTGATCAAACAAAGAAAAGAAGGATGACTGCATTACAATTCTTGAGAAGTGCTCTCCTCAATTGCAGCTGGTGTGCAGAAATTCATTTCGGAACCTGAAAAAACCTGACATTGGTGCTGTGGAACTTTTAAAAGATGTCCAGAACAAGAATGAATTCCTGGTGCGGCTGGTGACCTTTGATACGGAGCATAAGGAAGATGATGACCATGAACTGCAGCAGGAAAGGGAGACTAACATGTGCGTTATAAAAGTGGAGTCTTCCTTATTTTCGGAGATTGATCCACTCAGTGCAAGCGGAGAAGATACCAATGCTAGTTCGGTGAGTGCAACTTCATTACCAGGAGCCAGGGCAAGCACTGAGACTAGCCAGGAAATAATTCTGTCTTCAAGCACATATTGCCAAGATTTAGGTAACTCTGTTCCTGAAGTTATAACCAAAGATAATCAGGAGAATCTGACACACATCCTTTCTGATAGTACACTGATTATTTTAATTGCTTTTCAGTTGATCAAGAAATGGGAGCCATACAAGGTACATGGCACACAAGACAGCTGACTACATCTGCTCTCACAGAAGTCAAATACAAAACATACTGAGATATCATGAACGCAGGGTCAGGCTCCTGCTACGTGATATGTGACACCTTCACACTCCTGTGATTTTCCACAAGGTTGTGTAAAGCTGAGAGGAGATGTTGCAGAGATCAGAGATGGAGTCAGAGGAGGGACTAACTGGAGCAGGGGTGCCTGGTCTTCTGGCCCTACAGGACAGACAAATGGCATGGGGTCAGACTGCAGGCCAGATATATAGGGGGTTGGTGGACAGGGTTGGTCCGCAGGTGTGATCCAGCATGCCAGCCCAATCCTGCATGCTAGCTTGAGTAGCATGCACAGCCACGTTAATCAGCCCATGGATCTGGAAATTTGGCATTACAGAAGCAGCAATTAATACTCCCACCACTTCCCTACTGCCAAATTTCTAGCTATATGCAGAGCCCTGTAGATTGGAAAGCACAACTCCATTGCTTGAATTTGACCCATGGGCCAGAAGTTGAGCACCACTGACCTAAAGAATTGATGGTCAATACTGAAAACAGATAGAGCTGAATGCTGGAGATGTGTGGCATTTCAGACAATGGAAATGCACAGATCTTGTTCAGCTGATGTTGTATTCTGCCTTTCCCCCTGTCCTGCAGGGACTCGCTCTTCCTTCCTTCTCTTACACCGTTTTTCCTAACTTGATTATTTGTTCCCTTGCTTATTTTTAATGCAGGAATTGCTTAGGTTATTTTCTAGCTTGTGATTAGAGCCACCAAAGAGTTCACACCCCCCCTGACAGATAGCTTTAACCTGAAAATCTAATGACAATATTAAATGACTCAAAACTGTAAAGATAACATTAGCCCAGGCAGATGTTACACCAATGAAGGCAGAGCAATGAAGGTAAATGCAGTCACCACCTGCCTATAGCCTCCCACTAAGGTTGCTATTCTTGCCTTTCCTCCACGGGGCAGTAGCATTCAGGTCAAGTGACCATAAGTTTGCAAACACGCCCTAGATAGATAAAGAACAGGCAGAATGAAGATGGCCAGGCCTGGAGTTGTACCCAGTGTGGACTGAAGTGAATGTAATTGTTTTACAGAGCCTGGAAGAGGTAGAACTCACTCAGTTCACTGTTCCCAAGGCAGCCCCAGACCTGTCCTCAACCACAGATCTGCCATCTGCTCAGAAGAAGAACAGTTACATTTTAAGGTAACTATTTCAATTGTGACAACACATTAAGTGTCACGTAAGAGAAAGTCCAAACAGATGAAGCAATAGGCAGCCAACAACTGAAAGCAAATCTGAGGACTGAAAAATGTGATGTAGAACTTGAGTTTTGTTACTCTTTGTTATTATTTATAATAATAGTATTATTTCCTTGTATACCTTAGTGGGAACACTGGAGAAACATCACCTGGCAGAGAGAGACAGAACAGAGGTGAGGGGCTGATATTTTGCCTTCGAGACAGTTTGAGGTCTTTACTTGTGGTTAAATTTCAGTGATTATTTAAACTGTGAAGGCTTCAAAATTAAATCTGATTACACACAGAAACATCATTCAATTTACAAAGTCAAGGACTCAAGAATTAGGTAATGCTAGAGTTTGGGTTGTAGGGGCAACCTTATGCATATGCATCATGACACAGATGTTAATGAGAAGGGCTCATTCCCACCTCTGTCTGAGGTATAGTTTGAGTTTTGCCCCTGACCTGTCTTGTTCAAGTTCAAACTAAGTAGCAATTAAGCACAAGCTAGCTGGCCTGGCAATCAAGGTTGAAGCTTGAGTTAATAACAGAGTAGAGAAGCAGCAATTTAAAGGTATGTCTGTAATGTAGTGCAGCACTGATACACACAAGCTAGCCAACATGCCATTTGGGGTTCTGCTACTAGCAGACATCTGGAGATCAGCCCAGCCTACTGTCAGATTATTTACCTAGGATCTCACCTGAGTTTTGCAGCCTGATTGGACAATTTTCTCCTGTTAATACGTGAGCCAGATAGTCTACTGTTAGCTCAGATGCATCTCCACAAGCTGCAGTAACTGCAGCATAGACATACCCTGTGCTATGATAACTCCTCCACACCAAAGCACTAGGTGTAGCTGGAGCATGGTTGCCATCATTCCATGGGTGTGTGTAGATGAAATGGGGGCCCTAAATTGAAGTGGTGGGTTTTAAAAAACACTGCTTCAATTTAGGGCCGATTAAACCCCCATGTCATGCACACACCAGACTTACCTGCCTGTCCAGTGGGGAGGGCAGGGTGAGCTGCCGGCGGGCAGAGCAGTCCCTGGGCTGCAGAGCGGGGTGGGGGAGGCAGGAAGGGCTCATGCTTCCCTTTGTGGCAGCAGCAGGCCCCCGCCCCAGGCGGCATCTACCCACAGACACCCAGCTCAGATGGACCCAGGAAGCACCGCAGCTGCAGAGGGAAGCACTGGGCCCCCGCACAGCTCAGGCAGGCAGGCAGGCTCCACAGGGGGAAAAAAAAGATCAGGCTCACCGCTTTTCTTGGTTGGAGCCTGCCTTCCCAGGCTGCTGCCAGTCTGCCTGCAGGGCTCCCTGCAGAGCCGTGAAACTGCACGGAGCCCGGTGCTTCGCTCCATGGCTGTAGGGGCAGCAAACTAAAACTCCTGGGAGGAGTTTTAATTTCCTGCGCCCCAAGTCACTTAAGGCGTTTCGTACAGCAGCTGGAATTAATGTGCAATACACTGCCGAGGCATGCAGAAACTGACACCATTAAAGTGGTGCAAAAGCATTTAGCCCTCTTTAAAGCGTTGTGCACACATGCCTCTTGTTTCGTCTACACACAGCCCGTTTGACCTAGCTGGAGTAACTCAAAATGTACGGACGTAAGGCAACTGCCATAGTCAAGACAAATCCTTTATTTACAGACACATCTGGACAAAATAGCACTAGAAGGTTGGTGTAACAGATAAGTATTCAGAATGGAAAATAGCTGTGATTCATCAGATCCTATCTGTTCTTTCTGACAGGAATTTGTGACAGCTCACCCCAACCTAAGGATATAGAAGTCACATCTCACACTTTGGAGGTAAATGTGTTTAAAATAGCATTACATATGCCTGCATCTGTCAGCAATGGACACAGAGCAGTGGAGCTGACGTGGCATTTGCAGGATAGGTAGAGAGTACAGCAGGGGTGGGCTGGAAGGAAGCACAGTAGGAAGAGCTGGAGAAAACAAGGGGATATGCAGAGAAGTTAGTGAGATACTCACAGAAAGAGAGACATGGTAGTCAGGACAAGGAACAAGCAGGACTGAGGTTTCCATACAAAAAAATGGCTCTGTGTATTAGTTCAAAATCTAGGCACAGGAGGATAGACTTCCCACCCAAGGACTCCAGCTTTAACTTTCCCCATATGGCATCACAAGGGACCCTAGCTGGAGTTAACCCCCAGGTTTATCGTTACTTGCTATTCATCCTGCATTTTCAACTCAGCCCTCAGAAACATGTACAAACAGCAGGCTGTTCCTTTCTTTGTCGGATAAAACCTCTTCCACATTGAATGCTGCCTGTTTTCCTCTGTCTTCTAAGAAACAAGTTTCTTACTACCTCAAGTTTCATGCTTTTGTGGCGCCGAGGGCTGGCAGTGCCCTGCTGGCCACTGAGCAAGTAGCAATGCTGTCAGAGACAGGATCTGCAATGGGACCCTTATATGCTTAACTCAAGACTTCAGAACACAATGAACAGGCCTTTCAGCAGAGCCCAACCTTAGTGAACAGATTGTTCAGGGCTAAAGAAAAAATGGGATCAGGCATCAAGCATATGAGATTTTATTAATCCCCACAGGTCTATCTTCTTACTAGTCTCTCCTGAAGATATATCAGGGCCCCTTTCTCCTCTCACTTACCTTATCATAGAGGACTGGAGACAAGAGCCTGCCCTCATCTGTTCCATATTCTGTCACATAATAATCAAAGGCTGTGGTTTTCAAATGCACCATGTACTCACAACTACACTAAAAATGAAAGAGGCTGCAGGTTCTCAGGAGTGCTGAGAAGCAGACCCCAAATGCCTCCCTTACCCAAAGACGGACACATTCAAAAGGATCTGTAACATCAGCCAGTACTTAGAGTCAAGTAATAAGCCCTTGTCATCTTCCATGACATGGTTCAAATGTTGAAAAACTTACCTGGATAGTAGAAAATATGAGCCATTTACTTCAATGAAAAGGTCTTCATCTCCACCAGAGAAGCTTTCACATCACCATCTGGCATTCATTACCTCCCATAAACTCAGAGCTAAAGAGGCTGGTGCCTGGGGAGACTGGAGCCAGTACACCAGCTGCAATGCATTAAGGCTAGATACTTAATGAGGGCCTTGGCTCTAAAACAGTCCAGGGAGATGGTTTTGTTTGCATTTGTTAAGGGGAAATGACAAGGTGCTGCAAATACCTGCATGCTCTTCAGGGAAGAATGGTTCTGGGCTAGAGGCATCTCTCGTCTTGTTTCCTCTTGGAGTCAAAGTAGTTGAACAGACAAAGTTAGGCATCATCCAGCAGTTTGGACTGGAGCATTAGAGACCACTTAGAAATACTGCAGAACTCTAATCTGCAAGCTGAAGGGACGGACTAATCACTCCAGCTCATGCCTCCATGAAGCATTGCCTGTTTCCCATTATGTAGTTACATGATCCTGAAGAGCACATATAATACAGAATTATATACCAACTTTTCTTTCTTCTCTCCCGGTACAGTCTGCCGTGCCCTGTGGAGATCTTGGATACAAGGATTCCCCATTCCAGGAAGATACAGGTATGTACACGGGTCCTTTCTAAGCCCCCTATTTAGGCACCAAATCCAAATGTTAATCCTCAAAGCCACCACTCAGCCTGGCCCTGGAAGTGCCTGAAGTCTTCAGAAGCCAGAGAATTTCCTAGTCAAGTGCCTGTTTCTGGGAATAAGTAGAGCTTCTGATGTTTGGACAGTGCTTAGCATCATAGGTCCTCACTCATGCTTCAACATGAGTGCTTACCCCCGCAATGTTTACCTTGCCTGAGGACCAAGCCTGGTGGGCATGCTCAGAGCATGCTTGCTGGATTGGGGCCAGTACAAATCACAGCCCTGTATCCTAAAGCTCAGCAGTTTGTGCATTCACCCAGAACACAGGGCATTTAGGTTTAATTCCCTCCCCTACCTAATAAGACTGAGCCTGTATTTCCCACCTCCGAGATGAGTGCTTCAGTCATCAGGCCAAAAGACAGCATGGGCTGCTAGCCCTTCCTGC